GTCATCATTTACTCACCCTCATGTCGTTCCAAAACCTTTATGAGTTTCTTTCTTATGAACATAAAAGAAGATATTTTGAAGACTCAAACAGTTGTTGGTCCCCATTGACTTCCATAGTTAGGAAAGAAATACGTCAATGGTGACCATCAACTGTTCGATTACCAGCATTCTTCAAAATATGTTTTTATGTTCAGCTTAAGAAAGAAACTCATACAGGTTTGAAACAACATGAGGGTGAGTAAATGATGACAACATTTTCATTTTTAGGTAGACTATCCCTTTAAGATGATGGTTCACCCACACTCTCAAAAATAAAGATTCCAAAAAACTTTTTTTTTTGCAGGGACAGGAGAACTATTTTGGATTCTGTCATCATTTACTTACTCATTGTTCCCGACCTGCGTGCGTTACTTTCTTCTGCAAAGCACAAAAGAAGATATTTTGAAGAATGCCTGAACAGATTTGGTCCAGTGAGAAAAAACAAACAAACAAACAAATGAGACATTTTACCAAAATATCATCTTTTGCGTTTCACAAAAGAAAGTCAACGTTTGTCCAACCAACATAAAGGTGAGTAGCTAAATGATTTTTGGGTGAACCGTCCCATCAATATGTGTGCCTTGCGTCTGAGTAAGAAATTTTAACATGTTAAACATGTTTAACACATTAGATAAATAGAAAAAGTGATAGAGAGAGTTGGATGCACTACGAAGTGATCCTTGAGAGAGCTGACTTGTAAACCCCTCCAAGATGAGAACATTTCAAGCCTCTAAGTGAACACAAAACAACACATTTGCTCACACTATTGGCAGAGCTATGACTGTAGGTTCTGTAAGCCGCCTTTTCACTTGCTAAATCCAATGAAGAAACGCGAACGGGTTTACTAAATAGCAACCCCCAGCCTCCCCAACTCACGACTCAAGTGCTGCAGCTGTGTTCCCATGGCAACGTGCCGCAGAAGTGAGACAAGCAATGAGCCAAGGTAGAGCGGAAAAGATAGTGTGTGACACTGCTTAAAAAAGGCAGATCTTTCTTCTCATCTCACACTCTCACTCCATCCCTCCATTACTGTCACTCTCTAGTCTCTCACGTCCATCTGTTGGAGCGGCAGGTGGAGGCCCAGACACAGTGTTTTCATAAACGCCGACCAAACTATGTGTAAAACGGACGACAAAGTACTAAAAATGCACAATGCTGGCGTACAAAGGTCTTATTTTGTGTTGAGTGAGGAGTGACGAGAGGACTTTCTTGGAGAAAGAACATCACGTTCCTGTCTTTCGTTGAGAAACTTAGAAATTCACTTTGAAAATGGAGACCAGGGTAGAGGAGGAAAGATGAATAAATGATGGCGTGAATAAATGAACATGCTGGGATGAGTAGCAGCGGCTGTTGATAGACTACAGGCTTCTTCTGTGGTGGAAAACTCACCCGATCACTTGTTCATTCTGTTATCATCCAAGCGCCTCCTTCTCAGATTCGGCACATTTGTGAATTTTAACCAACAAGTCCATTTCACACCACTCGCTCCATCTGTCTGAATGGCTCAGAGTGCTTGTTTTTCTCCTTTAAAAAGTCTTCAGAAGTATTCTGGTGTACACAAAACCTGACAACTTCATAAGTAGGCAAGAAACTCACATCCGTGACCTGAGCGTCTCTCTGCCTGCTAAGGTGAATGAGAATTATTTACTTGTTTTATAGTGCAGGATGCTCAGTAGCACGTCCCATCTGGCCAATCTTAGCCAGCTGTTAAATTCACACCAATGTTTCATATGGTACTAAATAGCTGTGCTACGTTTGTTCTTGGAAAAAGGCTGTTAGTTGTCTGCAGAATGGGAAGACATAATTAGCACTGAGCAGAGACATAAAAGACTGTGAGGAGAACAGGATAGTTTGGACGACTGATGTGTGGACATTTCAACTATCATCTGAGAATGGGAGAACTAGAAGAATTGGTTCATATTTAAAAGATTTGAAAAAGATTCAAAAGTAAACAGAAGCTGAATGTGTTTGTTTTCTAGAGCGGGGGGCCGCAAGGGAGTGCTAAGGGGCTCTGTGAAAAAGTTTAGAGAAAAACAGGGCAATTATATAAAAATAAATAAATAATAAAAATAAGTTCAAATTAAAGGGGTCATATGATGCTGCTAAAAAGAACAATATTTGGTGTATTTGGTGTAATGAAATGTGTTTATGCGGTTTAAGGTTAAAAAAAACACATTATTTTCCACATACTGTACATTATTGTTTCTCCTCTGGGCATTTTTACAAAGCTCATCTGTCTGTAAAGCGAGGTGTGCTGTGATTGGCCAGCTATCCAGTGCGTTGTGATTGGCCGAATACCTCAAGCGTGTGACGGAAATGTTACGCCCCTTACCATATTGTGATGCCGTGTCCCAGCCGGAGCGATGAGACAAAAACATTAAAACATTGCGTTGCATTGCGCCGTGTAAACATAAAACCATGTCTGCATTTGTGATCAGAGAAATGACAAACAACAAGCCCTACTCAGTACCTAAAGTGTAGGCCTACATATTAGTACCTTTTGAATACCGCTCCAGTGACACCCTTTTGGTCTATTAGTTTGGTCTTTATAAATTAAAATATATAGTTGACTCTGGGCCCTCACACCAGGATGATCATATTTGGGGACCACAGCGTCTAAAAAAAACTGTTCAAGAAACCTTGCATATAACAGTGTAAATCAAAAGAGCATTTCATGCTACAAATGGAACTATAGCTAACAGCTTTCTAAGGATTATCAAGGTCTTTACATAACTCATGTGACCCATAAAGTTAATTTACGCCACATTTCAGCGCTGCACGTCAGTGTTTCTTCCAGCAGCTTAGAGTCACCAAGTTTCAATGTACAAGTGCTGCCATCAAGTGGTGAGCAGAAGTAATCAATCAATTCGACTGGTGCTTTGATATGGTTGCCCTCAACTGGAGCTATTTCCCTCTTTACCCCTGCCATCTGTCCGCTGAGGACTCTGTTCTTCAGACAATCTGTGCTCAAGCTGTGAATTAACTATGGATATCATTTCCGGCAGCAAACACCGCCACACGGCAGCTGCCATCGGTGGTGACAAATTTACTGTTAGCGCATCCCGCTGGAAAAAGAGTTAGCGCTCGATGGCTCTGCGATCGACTCCGCGCCTATGCCCACAATGAATGGCTGTTTCCAGCGCGAGACAGACGAGGCGAGAGAGTGAAGGAGAGCGAGCGCGTCGGACTCCACTGAAACACTTTGAAACGGCCTCCAGCTAAGGGGTGAGTATCCCGCCTTTGAATCCGCGCGGCGCGTTGCGTCACGCGAGCGGCTGTCCTGGCATTTTGGCTGAAATCCAGTGGCTTTGAGATGTTTGGGGGGCATTGATTTGGGGAAGGTGTGCGGTGGGGGATGGGCACAGACTAATGGTACCAACAAAAAGTTTAACCACTTCACCGACCTCACTGACATGGCTGAACGCGCGTGCTGGCAGATGTTCCGGAGTCAGATCTGGCTAATTTAAAAACCCGATTTCCGGGATCTTTTTAATCTGTCAGCCAAACGGCTTATATTTATGTTTTTGATTTGAAGACGGCACTTTGAGCGTGATCGATGTTGTTGTGGCGAGGAGTAGTTCAATCATTTTCTTATTGGCGGAGTCTGGCTGACTCCCCCTACTGTCAGCGCTGGTTCAGTCTGGCTCGCCCACAGTTCGTGCATTTGTCCCGGGATGACCTGTTGATGTCTGTGAAATAAGATAAGGTGGGGTATCCGAACTAGCGCGTATTCGCCATGGAACATTCACTTTGAAATCCCGCGGACTGAAAAGTATGCACTTGGGTGTTTTTGGGATGCTAATACCGGCTGCTCATTGAATCGTTGGAGATTCTTGAGTGTTGCCGTTGTAACGGAACGGGGCGAACCCTCGTTTTGGCGGACCCGTCTAGGCCCGAGGATGTAGGTAGGCACGCTCGCTCTCGGTGCGGTGCATTAGGCAAAGACGGGACAAGAGCGGCAAACTTGCTCGTTTCGTGCGACGCGACGCACCGCTTCCCCCCGCTGCGTTTGTGCTCGCTCGCATGTAGGTGCTGCATTTCTCACAGAGTGGCTCATAGTGGGCGCTTTTGCCATCGTTCTTCACCCCCTTCACGGCCCGTGCCAGGGGAGAACACCGGACAGACGGGCAGATTGACTGACACACGGTTAGCCTGCCGCCGACACAGCCTCATAACACCGCTGTACTGGCAGGTCTGGCGGCCAAAGGTTTGCTCTTTGTTTTTTATATTCTACTTCACTGTTCTGCATTGTTGGATTAGTGCTAGTTTATCGGCGTATGTTCAATGGCTGAGTCTGCACTTCCATCACACAGGTTTGGCATCACAATATTAGACGTTTCTTTTTGCTTTGATGTGTATCAGTGGTTCTCAACTGGGGGCCCTAGGGCACTCTGTAAACTTCCTAAGGGGCCTCAATCTCGTTATATTTAAGTATATTTTAACAATTTAAATGCTTAGCTGCTTAGAACCTATATTGTAATATATGTATAAATGTAATATAAATAGTGTAGTGTATCATGTCACTTCATATGTACTATTTTTGTAGTGCAGCATACAACTTGGGTGAACAATATTGACTTTATTTTTCCTCTCTCAACAATCATACATAAAACATCTGTAGAGGAATTTTTTTTTCACTCTTCTTACATGTTTGCTTATCTTTCCTTTCAAAAAAAGTTGTAGGCTAGTTAAGCAGAGAAGTTCTGTAGCACCAAAGAAACAGATTCATGTATTTATAATGTCTTTCCTCGAAGGCACAATGTGGTAATGTTCAAATCACCAAATGTGTAAATCTTTAGATGAATTATTTTTATATATTGACAGCAACAGTTTCTGTTAGTAAAAGGGTTACAAGCACCTTTGACTTTTGACTATTGGGAACCTTGGAAGTCACAAGGGTTGAGAACCACTGACTTTCAGGGTGAGTTCAGGTAAACCAGGACAGTTTTTGATTTTGACTGCCTAAAAGTGGCCCAGTTGACATGAATTTACAAAATAATTAAAGGAATAGTTCACTCAAAAATGAAAATTCTGTCACCTTTTACTCGCCTTCAAGTTGTCCCAAAACTGTGTAAGTTTCTCTTTTCTGACAAAAGAGGATTTTTTGAAGAATGTTTGCAACCAAACAGTTGATGGTAGACATAAGCGTAGTATGGCAGGGCTGTACAGTGCGACATATATGTCGCACGTGCTACGAAAAAACTGGTCTGTGCGATGAATGTAATAAATAAATAAATAAAAATACTGTGGAAGTCATTGGGGACTACAAACTCATACAGGTTTGGAACAAGTGGAGACTAGAGAGTGAGTAAATAATGACAGAATCTTATTTTTTGGGTCAACTATCCCTTTATAGAGTAAATAATTTGTCATTGACAATAAGTGCTAGAAATTTCAGGAGTATACCTGACTATTCATTAGTAAAATAAGATTGAAGTTATGAGATTACTTTTTTCTGTGTTTTTACAAGTACATGTGATAGATGCTCCAACCTCATTGGTTATTGCATGTTGACTGTTTGAATACATGCAGATTGGCTTGTGAATAAAGACTTTAAAAGTTTGTGTCCCCTTTTGCATACTGTGATAACCATACCTAAGGTGTCCCTCTCTTCCCCCACCCCGAGGGAAAGCTTCTTAAATAAACCCTGGGCCTCTCAGTGTGTATGTGTGCCACTGCTTCTCTGGCCAACTGTAAACAAGCCGTTTTGTCTGATGTCTATGGCTTGTGTGTGTGCATGCAAGGGAGGGGGAGCGAGCCTGAAGTTAGACAAAGAGGGTACTTCTTTTACCACGAAAGTCCTGTTAGTTCTGTGTGATCAGATCAGATTCAGTGATTTTTAATGTGATGGCTTGTGTGGGAAACATGTGCCCAGATGTTCTGCCTACCGCGGTCTAATCTTAATGTGTGAAGTATATCACATCACACAGTGTTATACTGTCGTGTTGGTTTAGCTGACATGATTTGAGGGCTGTTTTTACTTCACCAAATGATTGCTAAACAATAAGCCGCGATTTTTGCGCTGACGCTAAAATGTCAATCTGTGCCTTCACTAAAAGTTCTGCCACTCATTCTGCTGATTCGCCAAAAATCCTCCCCCGACTAATATGAGCGTATTTGTTGCCTAAAAAGGAGGGAGTTGTAAGCACCACAGTTTTAAACTCTGTAGTAGTAGTTTTGGACAGCCCATTTTATAGTAGAAAGCGCAGGTTAACCGTTTCTAAAGAGTTTTCCCGGCAGCACGGCTGTGAGCTGTAATGATGGCTTTGCTCATGGTGTCACATTTAGCAGTAATAAGACTGACTGCAGTGTCAGTCAAAGCCCATTGTTTTCCACCCTCTTCCTCAACTATGACCTCAATCACTGGTTTAGTATCTCTCTGGCGCTCTCCCCCTCCCTGCTGTAGTACTGTAAAGAGTGCCATTTTATCTCTGTCTCAGCTGAATCACCATCTCATTCAGATTAGCAGTCACATCCCGCTCGCAGGATTTTAGAGGCGGCTCGCCAACCCCCTATTATTTTAACTTTTTAACTATTTACTTTAAAAGCAAATGATGGTTGCAATGAGTCTTCAGTGATGAACTACTGTGCTGCTGAGAGAATGCTGCTGACAAAGATCTCTTTCTTTCTCTTCCATCTGTCTTTCCCTCCTTCTCTTCCTCCGGTGCCGCTCAGATTTCTCTGGTGGTGCTGGCCATAGCGCCATGGCTCAGACCCTTCAGATGGCGATCCCAAACTTCGGCAACAATGTCCTGGAGTGTTTGAACGAGCAGCGGCTGCAGGGGCTGTACTGCGACGTGTCCGTGGTGGTGAAAGGCCACACCTTTAAAGCCCACCGTGCCGTGCTGGCGGCCAGCAGCTCCTACTTCCGTGACCTTTTCAACAGCAGTGCGGGCAGCAAAACCCCTACGGTGGTGGAGTTGCCCCCGGCCGTACAGCCGCAGAGCTTTCAGCAGATCCTGGCCTTCTGCTACACCGGCCGCCTCAGCATGAACGTCGGAGACCAGTTTCTGCTCATGTACACGGCCGGTTTCCTCCAGATCCAGCAGATTATGGAAAAGGGCACAGAGTTCTTCTTGAAGGTCAGCTCGCCCAGCTGCGACTCACAGGGCCTCCATACTGAAGAAACCCCTCCGTCGGAGCCTCAGAGCCCTGTTACCCAGACGGCGGCGGGTGCTGCGGCTAATGGCGGAGGCGGGGTGGTGGCTACGGCGTCCAGTCGACCCGTTTCCTGCTTGACCCCGTTGCCCCTCGTCTCTCGGGTGAAGACAGAGCAGCCGGAGGCCTCGCCGTATTCGGTGGTTTGCACGCCGGTGGCCAAGCGGCTTTGGGAAGGAGGCAATCGGGAAGGCGGCGGAGGCTTGGGGGCGGCCGGCGGAGGAGGGATGAGGAAGGCGGCTCGCTTTTCCCAAGAAATGGCACGCGGAAGCGCCATTCAGCAGCAAGGTAGCATGGGACTTGGTATGGGTCTTGGAATGGGCACAGGTGGGCACGGTGGAGGCGGAAGCACCAATGGCAATGGCACGAGCAGTGCCACCCCTGAAGGCACCAGCCCCGGTACTTTGAGTGCCTACGCCAGTGATTCGCCCATCTCTTACCATGATGATGAGGAAGAGGAGGAGGCGGTGGATGACGGCACTGAAGAGCAGTACAGGCAGCCTTGCAATTTTTTATCAAATTGTCATAACTCGTTCTTTTGGGAAAATGAAAAAGACTTCTCTCTGGTGACATATGTAGTTGATTGCAGCTCCCACACCTCAAAATTCAATCAACAACCGCTGGAGAGAACAAAGTCCCCAAGCATACTACGTTTCGATAATTTGTTACATTAGAATGCATTTCAAAATATATATTAAATGTCTGGTGCTACTTTTTTTGCAGCTGAGTTATTATTCATTTACAATCTTTTCCTTAACAGTTGTGATCAGTGAGTAAGTCCAGTTCATTTATGAGTAATTCAAACCGGTTTTGTGAACTGGATCAACAGATTCCTTAATAAGAATGATTAATTTACAAATTAAACATTACTGCTGCACCCATCAACTTTCACCATTTTTGGTGAATAAAGACACAAAAATCCAGCTCCACTCCCTATTCATTATTGCATTGTAAAATAAATAAACTACCACAACAATGTCTTCGTCTGGTTCCACTGAAGAAAACAGAATTCATACAGGTTTGATGATGGCAGAATAGAATTTTCATTTTTAAGTTTTAAATTAGCACTTCCTAAACCGGCACTTCCTTTGATCCTGGTTCCCATTTTAACAAGTTAACTATTGTCTACTTTCTTTTGTGCTTCTTAAATAGGAATATCATCATAGCTAAATTCACACTTTTTGTTAAATGCTTAAACTGTTTTGGAGCTCATGAATATGTTATCAGAAGTTCTTCTTATCTTCGCTCAGACGGCATGAAAACCGAATGTGTTCTGATGCCTTTGGATTTCACAGGTCTTTTATTAGTCTTGGTCCCAAGAGCTCTGTATTATCTGTCTGTTTTTGAGAGTCAAAAGACTTGAGTACTGGTTTAATCTTCACGGCTGTCTAGACTGCGTGCGCGGTGGTCACGTTTTTGTCTTCACGCTTTCTCTACTCTTCATAAACTTCGTTCCCTTTCTCAGCAGGCGAACGTGTGGAGGCCTTGCCGGACCACTCAGAGACGCGGCCCAGGATGCGTGGCCGACAGGGTCTTGCCTCTCTCCCTGCCGAGCTCATCGCTCAGATCGGCAACCGCTGTCACCCTAAACTTTATGAGGAAGGTGACCCTGCAGAGAAACTGGAGCTAGTTTCAGGTCTGAGTCTAATCACTGTACCTGTTCATTAACAAAACGCAACAGATGAACCAAAGTATCTTGAGTCAAAGGTATATTATAGTGGAAAAAATCATTCTTTTGTTGTTCAAACCATCATCATATCATCCTGTATGGATTTTAGGAAAACATCTGCTGAGAAAACAATGTTAAAGTTAATCTATAGAAGAGTCAAATAGGAAGAGTCATGTTCAATAGCCCATGAAAAGCAAATGATCTTGTGTGGTGATTGATAGGTCAACGGTGTTTGGAGAAGCCGTGTTTTGGTATTGTGGTGTAGAACAGGTTTTGTTGAGTGACTGTAGGGTAGTGGGGGCTTTTGTGAGGTGTAAAGCATGGCCTTAAGTGACTCTGAGCCGTCCGACTGGATCTGTTCAGTACACATAACAGAGGAATTCTGCCAATCGCTGGAACTTTATTTAAACAGCAGTCGCATATAATAAACATACAGCTCAGAGTGCTTTACAAATACGATAAAAGAAAGCATTTGAACAAGACCAAACATGAAGCAATACAAAGTGGAAAATTAAATGAGGAATTGAAACAGACGAGAAGACTAGCAATAAAAAGGTCTTTAGAAAAAAATTGTCATTAAAAGATGAACAAATACAAAGCGCTGGAGGAGTGAAAAGCAAAAATGGAAATGAGACAAAAATGTTTAATTAAGAGCAAGAAAAGAAGGTTTTGAATGGTTTGAATTAGTTTTAGTAAAGCTCCCCCCACCCCACGCATGGAGGTAGGATTTGTTTTTTGAATTCTAATGAAACAACGTCTGTTTTGACTTATTTTCCCTCACAGGAAAAAATGACATTTTAAAATGTTAAATAGAAAACCGTTATTTTAAATACACTTATTTTTAAATAAGTTCTCACAATACTATTGTTTTTACTGTATTGTCTTGTCCAGTCATTGTGAGCATTAGAGACTTCTTTCAAAAGAATGAAATCTTACCTATTCAAAACTGAGTTTATTCTAATTTTCTTTTTATTTGGAGCAATATTCTGTATTTGAAAAGTTGCATTTAATGAGCATCTGCAGTGAGCACAACACTGCATAAGTTATCACACAGATGGATGCAGTAGAACAACAACCATATTTAATGAAGCCATAGGTGTAGAAAAGCTACATGAATAGAAAAACAGTTGTTAACACAACAGTCAGCGCTCAAACTTCACAAGTCACTGTTAGCACTAACTAACACACATGAATGATCTTTAGCAGTAATAAGGAAAGCTGATTTTTGCTTTGAAAAAAAGCAAAAAAAAATGTTTTTTTGAGCTTTGTGTGATTAGTATTCATTAATTTAGCATTCATTTTTGGGACATCTATGCATTCATGCAAATCGACGAGTCATAAGGCATTTGTCAGTCTTTCAATATGTAACTGCTTATATATCTTGAGGACATGAATATGAATGAAGTTTCACACCTTTTTAAGTGAGATTCACATATATTGTCGACAGGCACCAGTGTGTACATCTCACGAGCTCAGCTGATGAACTGTCACGTCAGTGCGGGGACCAGACACAAAGTCCTTCTGAGGAGGCTGCTGGCTGCTTTCTTCGACAGGTGAGTCTGGGAAACATCAAAGATGTCTTCCATAATAGTGAAACTGTATGACGTTTAACTTTCTGTTTCTGTATGACGTACAGGAGTACTCTGGCCAACAGCTGTGGAACCGGCATCCGTTCCTCCACCAATGATCCCAGCCGTAAGCCGCTGGACAGCCGAGTGTTGCACGCAGTCAAGTGTGAGTTCCCGCTCTTTTATATTATTTCACCCAAAAATGAAAATTCTGTCATCGTTTACTCACCCTGATCAGGGCTCGCAAAATTTCAAAATCTCTGGTAGCCCTTTGGGGACAGACATTCTTCAGATTTTGGTAGCCCAAAATGAATTTAAGTAGCCTGAACAAAAAAAAATAAAGGCATCGGCTGAACTTCACTGCGGACAAATCAGCATGATTAAAAACTTCAGTGATTGCTTTTTTTCTTCAAATAACAAGTCAAGAGAGTAGTGGAGCAACAGATCACAAAACCCACGGCTCGGATCATATTGCATTATCATATCAGATTTTGAGTAACAGATTGGATCATTTTGCAGATGAGCAAAAAAAAAATATGGTTCTTTATTATTTAAATAACAGAATACTTCTTTGATACCACAGCAAAAACTAGTAGCATATAGGGATGTAACGATTCACTCAACTCACGATGCGATGCGATACAATTCACGATACTGATTTCACAATACAATTTTTCTTTTTAACAAAATGAAATTTAAGACAAATTATAAATGAAAAGGTGTCCTTTTATTATTTCTCCAACAAAATGCTGCACATTTCTTTGTGAAATTGAAATATGTCAAATAATAAAACTAACTTGAAATTTTTAAACAAATCCTAAATCAAATAATTAAATAATAATACAAATAAAATAAATCTCTTCATATGAACAAACTAAGGCTTTGGCTGTGCTTTTTCCATTTAAAATCAGAGGCAACCACTGCATTTTAATCACGATCCAAACAAAGATGCTAAATACATGTTATTTAGATTGCAATTAGATTGTATAATTTCGAAATTTGAAGCAAAAACAGAAATGGGACTTGGTATGGGTCTTGGAATGGGCACAGGTGGGCACGGTGGAGGCGGAAGCACCAATGGCAATGGCACGAGCAGTGCCACCCCTGAAGGCACCAGCCCCGGTACTTTGAGTGCCTACGCCAGTGATTCGCCCATCTCTTACCATGATGATGAGGAAGAAGAGGAGGCGGTGGATGACGGCACTGAAGAGCAGTACAGGCAGATCTGCAACATGTACACCATGTACAGCATGCTCAACGTGGGTGCTACAGGTGAGTCCACAGCACTGTTGCATCCGATGAAATGCTTGAAATCATTTACTCAACCTCATGTTGTTCTAAACTTGTATGACGACTTTATCTTCAATGGAAAAGAGCTGGTGAAATTTTAACAGTGTGCTTGTTGCCTTTTCCATGGGATTACAATGAATGCAGACTGGAGCTTTTAAACTTAAAAAAAAGATGCAAATGCACCATAAAAGTTGTCCATATGACTCATGCACTATAATTCAAGTTTTCTGAAGCCATGTGATAGCTTTTTGCAAGAAATTGACTGAAATTTACAATTAAATGTCGACATAATTTTACTCTATATATTTTTAGATTTTTTGAAACTGTATGACGTTTAACTTTCTGTTTCTGTATGACGTACAGGAGTACTCTGGCCAACAGCTGTGGAACCGGCATCCGTTCCTCCACCAATGATCCCAGCCGTAAGCCGCTGGACAGCCGAGTGTTGCACGCAGTCAAGTGTGAGTTCCCGCTCTTTTATATTATTTCACCCAAAAATGAAAATTCTGTCATCGTTTACTCACCCTGATCAGGGCTCGCAAAATTTCAAAATCTCTGGTAGCCCTTTGGGGACAGACATTCTTCAGATTTTGGTAGCCCAAAATGAATTTAAGTAGCCTGAACAAAAAAAAATAAAGGCATCGGCTGAACTTCACTGCGGACAAATCAGCATGATTAAAAACTTCAGTGATTGCTTTTTTTCTTCAAATAACAAGTCAAGAGAGTAGTGGAGCAACAGATCACAAAACCCACGGCTCGGATCATATTGCATTATCATATCAGATTTTGAGTAACAGATTGGATCATTTTGCAGATGAGCAAAAAAAAAATATGGTTCTTTATTATTTAAATAACAGAATACTTCTTTGATACCACAGCAAAAACTAGTAGCATATAGGGATGTAACGATTCACTCAACTCACGATGCGATGCGATACAATTCACGATACTGATTTCACAATACAATTTTTCTTTTTAACAAAATGAGATTTAAGAAAAGGTGTCCTTTTATTATTTCTCCAACAAAATTCTTTTAATTTCTTTGTGAAATTGAAATATGTCAAATAATAAAACTAACTTGAAATTTTTAAACAAATCCTAAATCAAATAATTAAATAATAATACAAATAAAATAAATCTCTTCATATGAACAAACTAAGGCTTTGGCTGTGCTTTTCCATTTTAAATCAGAGGCAACCACTGTATTTTAATCATGATCCAAACAAAGATGCTAAATACATGTTATTTAGATTGCAATTAGATTGTATAATTTCGAAATTTGAAGCAAAAACAGAATGGTCTGATTTTAGCTTTGTAAATGAGATGCAAATGTCACTCTCTGACAGCAGGTGGCGCTTATGGAACAGCAGGTGTTTATAGGCTGCAGCCCCTTTAAGACCGAATGCACGGATTCAATATAATAATGCACTTGAGATTTCTTTCTCCACTGTTTACGTTCACTTAAGAATAGGGCTGGACAATAATTCAATATCAATATGTATCGCGATATAATTTTTTTCAATAACGGTGATATGATTTTTAAACACATTTCCGATATTTCGATATACATTACCAGTTTCCCATACATTGATTTATTTGTGCCGTTTGACTCTGAGCTGCTTTGTTTACAGCCGTTACTGGGGAAACCTCTAGTTTTATCACTCTAAAAGCGCCTCCTGCTGGCAGAGAATGAGTTTTCATTTTAAATAAGCCCGTCTCCAGCAACATTTCCAGTTTTTGT